ATTCAATTTGATTTGATTCGATCAAATTCAAATTGATTCAAATTGATTCGATCAAATATTTGAGTTCAATTCAATTCAATTCAATTCAATTCAATTCAATTTGAAAAAATCAAATCAAATTCTAATTGTTTAAATATTTGATTTGATTCAATTTTTAGAAACTCTAACTATGTATATTAAAAAGAAACAACACTCAAATATTTTATTTAATTGTAGCAATTTACCAAAATCACATGTTAACAATAATATAAATTTATTATCAATAATATTTAAGCAATTTAGATTCAAAATTAAGCTTTAAATTTTATAATACTGTTTAAATAAAGTTCAAAATTTTAATATAGACTGCAATCTTTTAAAATAAGTATATTTATTAAGCTATAAATTGTTGTAATATAGTTTATATTTACAAACTCTATATAATGAACGTAATAATATTTACGATTTGTAATTATAAAATTAAAAATATTAAAATCTTTTAGCTATTAAGTTAAAGTATTAATACTGTGTAAATTTATAAAAATTTATTTAAAAAAATAATTATATATTACATATTTTAAATTATCTAAAAATAAAATTTTTATATATTATTAGTATATTATTTATTTAATTATACCAATTTAAATATAAGACATAAATTCATAAAATTTTTTTATTTTCAATCAATTTTTTTAAGAGAGTATACATGAAAAGAATAGCTTTAGTAAATATTTACCATAGAATTCTTCAATTCTTTATGATATAGAAAGTATTTTTTTTATAAAAAAATTAGTAATGATGATGATATACTTCAAAATTATTTGATAAAATTTTGATAAATTTACTTGAGATTAGCATATCAATAAGATTATATTGCAAATAAATAATAATTTAACTTTAATAGTATACTGTATATTAAAGTTGTTAAATCAGTTATTCTATTGATATATCTATTGATTTTATTAATTCTAACTTTTAAGGAACCATAACCATAATGTTATTGATTTTATAATATAAGAAATTAGAACTATTATCTTAAAAAAATTAGTATTTAAAGCAGGTTTATGCTTAAATACATGAATATAGAATAATTAATAAGATATTATATTCTATTTGTTAGTTTCTAGAATTAATATAATAAATAATAAAAATAGTTAGAGGTATTAGTATTTGGATTTATTAAAGATTAATTATAGCAAAAACATTTGTTAAATATATTTTCATTAATCAAGAACAAAAGTTAAGGGATAGAAAATGATCAGATGCTATCATAGTTTTAACTAGTTAATATTTATTAACAAATTATTTAAATTCTAGAAAAGTATAATAATAAGATAGAAACTTAAATAGTTAATAAAAAATGCTATTAGGAAAAAGTAGGGATTAGAATCAATTTTAAAAAGTTAAATTGATTTTAATCAAATTTATTTTTATGAAGAAATAAATTTTGATTATAATTTTAATCAGAACTAAAACTTGGCATTTTGTTTAATTGATTTTAATCTATTATATAATTTAAATTAAATTAATTAATTTATTTATATGTAGTTTAGGCTGATTTTAGAAATTATTTTAATTTTTTTTTAATTTTTTTAATTTTATTTTGATCAAGTATCGTAATATAAGGTTTTTTAATTTAATTTTAATTTTGTCTTTGTTTTTGTTTTTTTTAATTTAATTTTTTATTTTATTTTAATCAAGGATCATAATATTAAATAAGACTTTTTAGCTTAATTTTTTTTTGTTTTAGTTTCATTTTTTTTTTGTTACAATCAGTTTTTTTTGATCAATCACTTTTTTTTTAATTAAATAAATAAAGTATTATTTAATTTTATTTTTAATCTTTTTTATGTTACAATTATTATTATAATAAAATATATTCAATTTTTTTATTTGATTTTCAATTAAATTAATTCTAATTTGATTTTAATTTTAATAGAATGCTTGATGAAGTGATTTGATTAGAATAGAATAATATTATTAGGATAGAGCTAACTAGTAGTTTTATTGCAATTTATCAAATTTTTTTTAGAACTTCTTAGATATTAATGCAAAGTAATATTTATATAAAACTTTTTATATATATTAATAATAATGATAATATATATAATAATAAGTATATGTATATAATATTATTTATTAGTTTTTCTTAAATTTTCTTGTACAAAAAATTTATTTTTTATAAACTTTAAACATTAAATTTCTTCTATTTAAAAAATAAAAAATTAATATTTTTAATGCTTTTAAAATATAAATATAAATAATATGTTATTTAATAAAAAATATATTTTATAAATTATATTAAATAAAATAAATAAAATATATTTATATTATTAGATAAAATTAAATATTTATTATTTGTTTATAAATATTTAAGATTTTTAATAAAATATTATAAATAAAAATTTTACTATTAGAATAAATTTATTTAATTTTCTAGAGGTTGTTTACTTTAAAATTTATTAAATTAAAAACAAATAAAACAAATGTAACACTGTAATGTTATTATAAGCAAACTATAAACTAGCTTATCATAAGTGAATATTCAACTGCTGAACCTTGCTTGTTTAATAAAGCCGGTTTATTTTGTAATATTATGAATTTTTTTACAAAAAACGTGTTAGTGAAGAAAAGTTCACAACTTTATAAATAATAAATAATATTTCAGCCTTGAGCTAGTTTTTTTAATTTTCTAAACTTTTAAATTGTAAAAAAAGTGAGAAAGGAAAAGAAAATATAAAAAGGTAAATGATGCCATCAGCTTAATCCTAAATTTTGAGTTTTGACCTGTGTAATTTTTTGGGGAAACTTTCTTTTTTGCATAATACTAGATGCATCGCTGAAAGCTTTACCAATGGTTAGATCAGAGAATAAATGCAAAAGGAATTTTATTATAATTACAGAATATCATTTGATATTCTAATGTTTTATGGTTCGCTTCGCTGTATTCTAAACCTATTTAATTCGCACAACTATATTATTCTCTATTTTAAAAATAAAATTTTTATTCAATTAACGAGTCTTCGTAAAATCAAAAGTTTCACCAATAAATTTGATATTCCTAATCACACCTTCATCACAATATTTTCTAAATAAGTTTTTATATCTTTGAAGATTTTTATTATTTTCGATCTGTTTATGATAAAAATATAACCTTAAACCTCTCCTACCTCTCCAATCTTCAAAAAATCTATTAAAAGCATTATAAGAAAATTTCCAATCAATTGGAATTTGTAATTGAAATAAGTGAGAATTTAAAGGTAAAATCATTCCTAAGAGTTCCAAGATAAAATCAGCTTCTAACTCGAATTCGTTTACTATATGAGCAAATATGATTCCTTCAATCCGAGTACAATTAGATAATAAATTTCTTAAATATTGAACGGATTCAAGAGTTTTATCAACATAAATATTTACATATTTAAGGTTTGGGCAATTGTCCATAAGGGAGTGATAATATCTAGAATTATGAATTCGTTCATTAAACTCATAACAATTGCTTAGGTAAATAATGTTTAAATCACCCCGAGTATTATTAATAATGTTTGATACGGATTCCAGAAATAATTGACCATGTAAAATCAAGGTTTGTAAATTAGGAAATTTATAACACCTCGACTTTTCACCTAAATATTTCGCGACCGAATCATAATTATAACATGATTCACAATATATTTCGCTTTCCACATTCAATTTCCTTAAATTAATAAATTTTGAGAGGGTTTCATATTCATCCCAGTCATGAAAATGGTCAATATTAATTTCTACGATTGAATTTATATGATCGTAAATAGCTAAAGTTAATTCTTTTGACATTTTTAAAAAGGATTGTTTGAAAGTTAATGCTTTTAAACATTGTTGAGCCTTAATAAATTTTGCTAGTCCCGAATTTTCATAATCAAAAGTTTCGGATGTTATCTTCAAATGTTGAATGTTTGTACAAATTTGCGCCATCTCATCATATATGTCCGAAGAAACATCATCACATGCTTCAAATTCAGTCAAGACTGAGAATGTATGCTGAATCCCGGAAAATTGTGTCAAGTGAACATTAAATTCTTCAGCGGAAAGAATGAACTGTTTAAGTAATAGATCCTTGGCAAATAATAATTTCAAAACTTCTTGTCCTAGTATGTTACTCTTAAAATTTACTCCAAGATCATTTTGTTCAGGAAATATATCGATCCAAGTAAACATACTATAAAGGTTATAAGTGTCTATAGTTTTACAAAACCTTGGATAATCGAATAATGGTCTTTCATAAATTATAATATTTAAGGGTATTTCAATTTTATTATCAGAGATTATTTCTTTGGAATCTTTAGGTAAGCAAGAGTATATCGTTGAAAAGATTGTTAAATATTTTCGATTATTTTCAATTTTTAATTCTTGATAATTCTTATTCATTGGTACATCAATTTTAAATGGATTTCTCCACAAGATAGGTACGACAGCTCTACACCAAAAACGACTGACTAGAAGACAAGAATATAATGAATTAAAATCATTCTTAAGGTAATCGAGAATTTCTGAAAGTAAATCAATGAGAAGATAAGAGGACATTTTTTTAAAAGAAAAAAAAGGAAATGAGGGAGGAATGTTTTTTTTGGTAAATTTTTTTTTTAACGAAAAATCGCCGGGCGTATTTCCTTAAAAAGTTAAACCCAATCCGACATATCAACCGCAGCAAATCACTCGAATGGATTGGTTTTACCATTTTGATGATGAGCCTCTTGATGTCGTTTTCGATCCTTTCCAACCCCTAAATATTTTTTAATGGATGATTTCAATCGTATGAAAAATTTATCTTTTCGATATTCTGATCCTAAGCACTCTTGCTCGGAATTTATCTCGTCAAATACATCGTCGTTAAGTGAAGTTGCACCGGAAAGTGTGACAACACTTGGTAACGAGTAGGAACGGTTGTGATAAGAAATGAAGTCATCGTTAATATCATTCTCACCATTTGCATTCGAGGATGATGTAGTGGAAAAGGTTGGTAGTAGTTTTAAAAAATTATCCTTGGAAATTCTCGATAACGGACGAAAAGGTTTGCTGAGCGATAAAGGATCATGTAAAGGATTTATATCTGGAGTTATTAAGATGTTGGACATTTTGTCGATGTGAAATTATCTTTTTTTTTTATAATGCGATTTACAAGAATACCCAATTTTTATCGTAATAAACAAGTCCAAATATAGTAAGTATAATCAATTGTTCAAAATTTCCCTTTTGATCTTTTTTTTTTAAAAAACAAACTCTTTTTTATAGTAAATTTTCTTTTTTCGCGTGACATTCACATATCGTATCTTTCATATTATTTATAGGAAGTCGATACTTGAATTACGTAATAGAATTGCCTTGTGATATTCCGCTTTTGGATGTTTTAATCTTCAGCCTCAATATTCAGTTTAATTTGAATCAGAATAAATTTTATATCCCTTTTTTAAAAAAGGAAATTCATATGAAAAAATAATATTTACAAGCATTTGTTGATTCCCTCATGACTAAAGGGCAAAAAAGGCGTCGAACCGAGAACCGTCCTGCTTTATAACGATAATTAATAAATAATGTGAAGTGTGACCCTTAAGGGAAGCAACAATCAAAACCAAAAGCGTTTGTGGGAGTTCTCAGATTCGCTCTAAACACAAGATCTCTCTTTTTGAACAATTGTTAGAAAGAAGCAAAGTTGATGTGAAATACGGTACTACGTTTTAATCAGTCGTTAGTACGCATGTGATTTCACAATGATCTTGGGATAGATGTTTGGCAGAAAAAAAAATTTGCGTAATGTAATCGTATGTCCACGAACCTAGTTAGATTTATGAAGTGGGCGTATGGTTCGCAGCCAAATCAAATTCCTTGTTACTTCGTTCTATCCTTTATCGTATTTACAGTGTCTATTATCATTTCTGACATAATGGATTCACTGTCTTCTCGGCGGGAAAAACTTCGATTTGTAAACGGCACCGATTTACATTTATTAGAACTTATAGTAAGCAGATTCAAATCCTTATAATACATTTAAAAATGATTGTTTTATACTTGTTTTAACTTTTGATATTAACCCTTAGTACTTTAGTTTTGTTTATTACGAAGATCTCTATTTCGGTTTAAAATATAAGGAATGTTTATCGAGTGTTATATCCAAACTAAACAAAAGAAGACTAATGTTTTTCGTTAAAGGACAATCATAGAGATCGAGATCTAGTCGTACAAATTGATTAACAGGATTTTCAAAAACGCGAAAAAAAAGCTGGCTATTTTAAGTTTAAAATTTATTTTACGTCAAAAACTTAAAAAGAACTTTTACAAAAATAGTTACAATAATATAATAAATAATAAATATAAATAATGTATATGGGCGGTTTTTGCTACTAAATCGCGTTTTGCATCATAGGACTTACATACCTCGTGACTTATATACAGTATATATCAATATATACATATACGATTACATCAAAACGCGATCCAAATTAAACGCGGCTATTTTATATATTTATATATTTTTTTTGTAAAAAAAAAAAAAAAAAAAAGAAGTGAGCATTTCATATCAAATTAAAAATATCAAAAAAAAAAAAAAAAAAAAAATTTGTAAACATTACCACTAATAAATGCTATGTGAGTAAAAGCTTGAGGAAAATTACCCAACAATTCACCAGATCGGGCAATTTCTTCGGAAAATAGTCCTACATGATTACCATAACTAATCATTTGTTCAAACATAAATTCTGCTCTTTCTAATAGCTTTTTATCATATTTTCCTGCCCTGGTTAACGCTTCTATTAACCAAAATGTACACATTGAAAATGATCCTTCCATCCCACCTAACCCTAACAACAAGTAAATTTAGTTCCTCAAGGTAAATAAAACAAAATTTTCAAAAAATAGTAACATACCATCATCGGTTGTAAGATGATTATATCGAAACACAAGATTATTGGTCAACAACCCTCCTTAATAAAGAAATCAATGATTAATGTTAATACATCTCTCGTACAACATTGTCGTAACCACATACCTTTTTCCGGAGGTAATAAAATTTGTTCCATGGTACTTAAAAATCTTGGATCGGTAGGGCTAATGAAAAATACCAAAGGCATAATCAAAACGGAACTATCCAAAGCATCCAAAGCTTCATAAGATTGAGCAAAGATTTTACGTTTAGGATTCCAAGTTTTTGACATAATTTCTTCATAAATAGTATCACGAATCTGCATCCATTTATTTCTATCAGGACATGGCAACACTCTCTTCTCCGATAATCTTAACCCTTTTAAAAGATCAAATCAAGTTAAAAAACCCTTCGATAGTATCGCAAAAAAAAATTTTCAAAAGTAATATAAAAAGGACGTGCCTCTATCAACGGCAACCCAACACATAATTTTAGAATAAGTAAAGTTTTGCTTTCTTCCTCTAACCTCCCAAATACTCATATCTTCACTTTCCCAATTATCACACACATAATTTACTAATTTACGTATGTTTACCCACATATCGTAAGAGATCGGACTACCATATTTATTATACAAATACATCGCATCTAATAATTCTCCGTAAATATCTAATTGAACATGATCATACGCTCCATTTCCAATGCGAACGGGTTTGGAACCACGATATCCGTCTAAATGAGTTAATTCCACTTCTGTTAATTTCTTTTCCCCATCTATACTATACATTATATTTAATGATCCATCAGGATTCTATTGAAATGCGTGAAAGATTGTCAGAAAACCACGAGAGAATTAATTACACGTGCGTGTCAAATAATTAAGCCAATCTCACCAAATCTTGACATCTTGCTTCCATGAAGTCCATATAATGCTTGGCTTCTTGAGTCATACCAAGTCTCATAAGTGCGTAAACAGTGAATGCGGAATCTCTAACCCAAGTGAATCGATAATCCCAATTTCTAGGTCCTCCTATCTCTATAGGGTAGGGTAAACGAAAATTAATAATAATAATATTTTTTTTTTAAAAAAAAAAAAAAATAAAAAGATTTTTACCTTCAGGAAGTCCAAAAGTAGGCGATGCGACAACAGCTCCAGTCTAATGTCAATAGAGATGATAAATAAATATAATAAATTATAAATTATTTCGTTCATTTCATTACCGGTTCGTAAGTCATTAATTTCAAGGCTAAAGCACTTCGATGAACGTTTTCTCTCCATCTTCCTTTATAACATGATTGAGCAATCCAATTTTGCCAAAAATGCAAGGTTTGTCTATATAAATTATTCGTTAGACCAGCACTTAATGGAGGTTCCAACTGATCCAATTTTGTAGAAAATTCTCTTAAAACAAAAGTAACAGTTTGAGTTTCTTTTAAAGTGAATTGAAAAATTATACCAGGACCTTTCATCACATTATTTTTAGCTAATTTAAATTCAATGACTGGAGGATCTTTTTCGCCATTTAAGACAACATAACGTAAATCCAAACAAAGTGTATTAGAACGAAATATAGCTCTTTGATGGCCAACATATGACGATACATCATCTTTTAAATATTTTGATGATTTATTTTCAGTTACTTTATATTCTTCGATTTCAGTTGTATGCTCATCCAATGCGTAATTAAATGATGGAAATAATTCAAATTGAAAGTCAACTTGACCGCGAACCACGCTAACATGTCGAATGAGCCATGGAAGAATGGGTTTTTGTGAAATGGAATGTGAGGACTTTTCAGGAATATGCATATAATCTGTAATTTCGCTCACTCCTTCATCATGTAAGAATCGTGTAGACAAGATATTAGATCCTGGAAGGTATTGTTGCTTGTTGCTAGTATGAATTGTTGGTGAAATCGAGAAGTGTCCTACAAAGAATTCGAGAATTAGCGGGAGTCACGTGGTAGCATTATGATAAGATATCTTACCTCCCTAACAGTTGATGAAGTTGTATATAATATATCAAAAAAAATATTTGAAAGAGAATTTATAATTGTTTTATTTTTTATCTTTTTTTATTCAGTAATTCACCTTGTCGTTATCTAACATTCTTGCAAAGACAGAAGGACTATCGAATTTTGGATAGCAAAAGAAATCGATCGAACCATCTGTTCCACATAAAGCAACTGTTCTCAAATTTCCGACAAGTCCATAATTTTCAATAGGAAGGTAACCTCTATAAAAAAAAAATTAATAATCTTTTTTTTTAAAAAAAAAAATGATATGAAATTGCCTACCGACCGAGTAAATTTATTTACCTCGTGCGAATATTACAACGAATATCTTCAGCCAAACAACCTTGAGCATCCAATTGAGATGTCCTTTGTTCATTATTAGATTCCATTCTTTAACGTAATCAATAAATCTACAGAGAATTGTTCATTCTGCAGGGAAAAATTGTCAATTTATATACAAATTAAAAAATCTGTGTAAAATAATTTAATACAATTTTAGTAATAATTATGTCCCTCGGAAAACGTTTTTGGTTAATTAATTCACTGAATAAAAAGGTTATTTTGTTGGTGTAACAATTTTTGGAACTTTTCAATGGAAGTTTCCTTTCCTTATATGAATTTATCGTTTCGAATGAAAAATACATCACAATTTCGAAACTTAATGACGTTTATAATTTACATTATGAAAATTACTATATTATTTATATTATTTCTGTTTATGTAAGGAAAGAATTGATTCGTTAAAATGGGTGGGGTAAACCTAAAAAAAAAAATATATAAATATAGAAATAAAAAAAAATTGGATGTTAAATTGACATGGCGCTATTTTCTTCATGATTACTAATGTACCAACTTTTTATTATTGATTATATTATAATTTGAGATCAGTCTAGACCATATAATGTTGTGATGTGATGTGTATAAAATAAAGGGTTATCATTAAGTTTAGGACCAATTATTTTAAACAAATATTTTTTGCATTTATATTTTTATTTGTTATTACGACGATCAAAAGATTATTCTAATTTTAAAAATACAAGTTTTTTTTTTCTTTTTTTTCCCTAAAAAAAAAAAAAAATTAATTGATTTGTATGCATTAGAGAAAATTTCAGTTATTAAATATGCAAATATTAATAAGATTACTAATAAACCAAATTCAGAAAATGAATGTGGTAAGCACACCAATGGTTAATGTGATTATCGAACAATCATGTAATTTTCTATTCTCTTTTATCATGTAAACAAATATTATTTGTGATTTTGAGATTATTAAAAAGATTTATTTAAATGAGATGAAGGGAAACAAATCCAAAAATCCAATAATTTCAAAAAAAAATTATTATTTTTTTAAGAAAAATAATTTTTTTTTAAAATGGTTCAAATGATGATTCAGGTTGATAATTTTCCACCAGGATCTCATGTCAATATCAATAATGAACATCCAAAAATCCTTGAACATAAAGGAAATCCTTCAATAACGAGCAGTTCCCTTTGTAATCCTTGCATATACATTTTAGAAATGCAACATCATATATTTAAATACCTTTGGAAAAACAATTTTTCAACGCCCATAACAGAAAGACTTGAAGCTGGTAGCATGAGAGTATTGGAAATTGGATTGGCGCCTGAACTATGGTCATTCGACATGGCAGATAATTATCCATTATCCACCTTCATAGGATTAAATAATTTCGCAGCTTATGATAATAAAAGTAATAATAATAATAATGAACCATTGAATGCGACCGTATTACGAACGAATTCTTCATCGATAATTCCTTTCCCAGATGAAACGTTCGATTTCATATGTCAACGATTCTTTCTCCCACAATTAAATACAAGTTTGAATGAACAATCCAATTTGATTAAAAACATGATTAGAGTATTGAAACCGTGCGGATGGATTGAATTTATGATATTTAATTTAAATTTGTATAATTCTGGTCCATACACAACTCGCTTAACGCAGGCTTATGATTCATACATAAATTATGGACGGGAATGTAATAGAATTGATGAGGAACAATTATACAATATGTTGGTTTCTACCCAACGAATTCAAACCATTGATATAAAAAATAAACGCACTCTATTGGGCACCAGCGGTGGAAGGATAGGCGAATTGGTAAGTGAGAGAAAATTTCTCATTCAATGATGAAATTATGAAATTTGAAATTAAACCCGTTTTTTTTTTTTGTTTGCTTCGACATAGTTATGTGATGTATTGCTACAACCTTTAAAATCTCATAAATCCGAACTATGCGAATATATGGGAATTTGCATAAAAGAATTTGACGAAATGTATATCATAATGTTGCAAGAAATAAATGATTATAAAACATTTTGTATTTCTCATAGGTAAATGATTTTAATTGTCATTGTAGCATAAATAATATTTTGGTTATAACATCTAATATTTTTTTAATTCTTATTTATTAGAATATACGCGAAGAAATATTGACAAGTTACTTGCTTTAATTATTTAGAAAAGTTTTAATATGTAAATTTTTATAAACTATGTAATTTATTATAATAAGGAAAATATTATTTATACATGCACGCATTTTACTAAGCGGGTTTATTTGTGATTTTTTGTGTTGTAAATTTTGCTGTGGCTATGTAACGAGGAAGATTTCTGCGGTTGGATAGAATAAATTTTTTTTTCCTCATTAATCAATTTTGATTAAAAATAAGTCATGATAAACATTATTTATCTTCTGCTAAAACTTTTATATAGTTCCAATAGCGACAAAACGAAAGAGATTATTTCCTTATTTCCTTTATTAATCCCTTATGCCACAATAGTTTTATTATGCACTTAAAATTAAAATTAAAATGATTATGTAATATTTCTTTACAACCAAATTCAAAAACAAACATGCATTTTTGTCTTACGAAGATCGCAAATCAATGATTTAACCAAAGTAGTTAATGCGAAGCCCAATTTTGATGGCTGTCAGGGTACAAAAATTTCAAAGAATCAAAGCCAAATATTAGTGTCTTTAACATTGGTCAACTTTTATCATGATTAAGGCTTAAATCACTTTTTTTATAAATATAAATCTATATATTTTTTTTTAAATTCTTGTTTAAATACTGCAAATATCTTTCCCTGATTACAAATCGCAGGCTAACTATATAAGCCTGAACATGATTCATACGTGTCTCAAATATATAGAGAATGGGCATATCCACTGTTTTAAATTTTTTTGTAATCCCCTTTTAAAAACCATTTTTTGCCATTTTTTTCCAATTTTTTTTTTTTTTCAGAACTTGATGATTAAAAAAAAAGAAGGGTTAAAGTATTATTGGTTTCTTGAGTTTTCAAAACCGTATTCAATATGAGTGGATGTTGTTGTTGGTATGATGTTTAGACATTCCCTCCTCCTCTTTATACTTTTCCCTTTTACATTAAAGGTTTTTTACATCTTTTATTTGAACCAGTCTCCCGAATTGGCACGCTACTATTTTATTCTCGATTTTAAATTTGGTAATTGCAATATTTGGATCGGCAATATTCCTTACAGAATCAGATGGTATTGTTACTTATCTTCGGGTCTTTTTTGTTCTTTAAAAGGAATCACGACTTAAAAAAATTTTTTTTTGGTGAACAGATATTGCAATTAGAATGCCACATATACTTGCAACAATAATTGGAATTTTATTTTTAATTGTTTCAATTGTAATTATATTAGGAATTGTTGGAACAAGTTTCGTAAGTATTTTATTTTAACCGTTATTTTTAATTTTTTTTTTTTATCTTTTCTAAAAAAGTACTTTTTTATTAAAGGGTTCAATAGAAGCAATAACCATATATGTAAAAAGTTTAATTGGCGTTTTGATAATCTATTCGATCATAACCATAATAACAGCGATATACATGTTCACTAGTAAGCATGTATCGGTTGAACGATGTATAAATATTGCTTCTTCGGATGCTATTAATTCTTGTATTCATAAAGAAACTGTTAACCTTTGGATAAAATCTATCTTATTTGTTTTGGTGATTTTATTTGCGGTAAGTTTAAGAAATTAGAGAACATCCTTTGTTTTTGAAAAAAAAAATTTACAATAATTTTCTTTCAGATACACTTATTTGGAAATGCACAGAGACTAAAACGAGAACTTTTGGTGCCAAATATTAATCGTTATCAACAGCCATTTGTAGTTGCTAAACTTGGTACAGCATAAAACTGATATTTTTATAACTATAAACAAGGACAAATAAAAAAATAAAAAAATAAAAAATAAAAAATAAATTAAATATATAAATAAATATATAATTATAATATATTTGTTGATCGAAGGTCAAAATAGTTATTTAAAAATCATAAAAAGTTTTTTTTCTCACTCCTTAATTTTGGTCAACAAATAAAGTACCGTCACACAGAAATATTAAATATCGATTTGCGAGACAATAGTAATCATATGTGATTGTATCGCTCATTTCGTCCAGCATGTGCTTTTAAAATACTATAAATTATATTAAATTTATTAATTAGGCGATTAATTTATACAATGCAAGGTTACTTCAGGAATGGAGTTGTCAATTGTTTAAAAAATCTCATTTCTATTATGTCTTCAAATACAATTTATTAACAGATTTCCATACATCTTTCTTTGGAATGTTGGAATTTTGGAAGGAAAATCTAAGGTTACAAAATTAATATTATGTTAGTGTTACACATCATTAATTAAAAGTGACTATTTTGACATATGTACGTGGTAGATCATACGATGAGGTGATTATAGATCCAAGCGAGACACATACGTATATAAATAAAGTTTAATGAATAAATAATTTAATAATTTCATCAATCAAACCTAACTTTCCAGCAAAGAGTTGTTCCATGGATTGAAAATTATCTTGCAACATTTTAAGTTCATCCTGAACTACTATTTTTGAATATTATTATCAATATTTAAAGAAATCTTACAAGGAATCCGAAATGTATCGAAAATTTATTCCATCACCATCATCGTCATCATCAAAACTGGATTCAATTTCAGCCAATAAATAATCCGAATAAATATATCGAGGATTTCCTCATTTGTTATCAAAATGTTTTTCAACTGTCTCGGTATTTTTTCGCGTCATCATACGCGCCACTAAACAACAAAAGTAAAGTGAGCCGGTTTAATTAAAAAAAAATGGAATATGGATATGGAATAAGAAACGTAACAAGAAGAATGTTAACAATTATAGATTCTACAAGCAAAGAAATTCCATGGATCAAACCGATCCCAACCCACTTCGATAAACTTAACAAACCTTATATAATATTTTATCCGATAGTTCATTATTGTCAACTTCTTTGATTAATTACGAATGCGGAAAATTCCGGTGCTATCGTAAATTTTGTAGGAGGATTTGCCAGGCATAATAAACAAAACATACCTAAAATTTTTCATTATAAGTTAAGCAACACACCACACCTTATTTTTAAATAAATAAAAAAATGTAAATTTTAAATCCATTTACATGGCATGAAATATTAATTAAAGTATAGATGTAAGTTCAAAATATCGTAATAACAGTTTATTTGAATTATTTGGACATTATTAAAATTTCTAGATGACGCAGAGGTAAAGTCAATAATGGCACTTACCAAAAACGGATCACGAAGCCATTTGAAATCCAATAATCAATCATCATCAAGAAAAATAAGAAAAATAAACCAAGGTACGTCTGTGATTTCTGTCATGCATCCAAAGTTTCGGTTTTATAAACAATTACTTCTTTCGTATCAAAATCTAAGAATTTCCGGTTGAATGACAACCCGTGATCGACCAAATGAATGATATTTCTTATGGTATCGATTTTTGGATAATTCAAGTATGTTAGGTTCTTTAATATCGATCCGTAATCCATCATTTCTCACAATTCCGTTATATAATCGTAATTCTTTACTTCAATAACGATCAACAAAGCACCATCATATTGAACGAATCAAAGAGAGTATCTTACGAACATTTCCACTTTAAATTTCTTCATGGTAACCTCTAGACAATTTTTCATCAAATAGATAGTAATATTATTCGTACCACGACAATAAGATAACAAAACTTCATTTCGAAACCTGAAGAACCTTTTCCTACGGACGAAGCTGCAGTTTTCTTCGCGTTTTTGAAGACCATATCTAGTGAATTCGCATGCATTTCAACAGTTTGTACCTTAATTTTATGATTTCCACGATCAAATGACTTTTATCAAATTCTGACGAATAACTAGGGTACACGTTTGGTCATCCGGTAACGTTTTCATTCCCAATAAAAATTTCGTTGGGAATTAAACTCGATCGATTTATCGATTTATTAGGGAAGATAAAACCATGTCAAGTTTATGAAAAAACTTTTTTGATTACAAGCGCATTGATGAGAACCAAGTCCATAGAAGGAAAATCTTTAATTTAATTATGCCACTCATATTGTCAATTGATTAGGAAATTCTTTTATTTTTATTGATTAAGATGATCCACGTAGACGCAATAATTCCAACGAAAGAATGTTCAATAGAACCATCATTTAATATCATAACATTATCATCGAAACGAGAAACAGCAATTAACACGTCAAGAGTCTATCAGCCAAATTAGCTCATTAGTCACAGTCAAGTTTAAATTCATTTTCGCAAAGGCGCAGTATCATCTTGACAAACTAGATTTTATCGAACGGGTATTATGAAAATTAAGTTTAGCGGTAAGTGTGAATCGGAAGCCTCATCTTCATAGTTTGTACGGGTTTGGGTTGGTGTGATACCAATAGACGAAAGAAAAATCTTTTAGATACGTGATATTTTAATTCAGAAAATTTTTTCGGAGGAGAATCTCGTGGTTAGAAATAGTGATCAGAACAAATTAGCTATATAACTTTATCTGTTATGTATTCTGTGATTTTTTGCCATTGGCAATGGATTTGAAGATTTACTAATCGAAGAACCACCATCATCACCATCACCATCACCATCTATATTATCATTGCAATCACACGCTTTGGGAAATTGTGCAGGGTCAGTTCCCTGGAAAGTGATGATGCACGAAGAAAAATCGTTATCCCATCGTCAGAAGAATGTAGTTTTGTATATGTTCTACTCAACAAACGTCAGACGACATGTCTCAAGTGCCAGCACGTGATGAACAATCGGTATTGCATCATCGGTTGATTTTTTTATATTGTTACAAACGTGATTTTCTATGGGATATTAATAACCTACTTTCGCTTACCGCCAGTTACTATGAAAAAGTAAAAGAAAATCAAGAACCCGATGAAGTAATAGTTAAAATCCTTGATATTACAATATCAATGAATAATAATTGCTCAATTTATTGAAACATTAGGTGTATATATTTTGTCAAACTAATAAAAGTATTTGGGTTTATTATTTTATCAAGAATATATATATACACAGATTTTATATATCAAAATATTTCTTTTTGATTGAATAAAATGATCGTTCATTAAACTTTCGCGGGTATATCATGATAAAATTTTAGATTTAGTATTTCAGATTTAGTATTCAGATTTTACTTGGATTTCTAATATTTTTAATTTAAATAATTATTTTAGTAATACGGGTAAACTTAGTAACAGACAGACAATATAAATTTAAATAAAGAACGGGTTGAATAAATAATACACAAAATTTTATCAACTGGTAGATAGATAGTGTTAATTAATATGAAGTTCAGAATTTTTTTTTTAGTCAATTTTTTTTAAAAAAAAAAAAACTGCTGAAATTGGAGAGATACCATTTGTCGTCATCCCTGTTCGTTACCTATTGATTTAAAAAATTATAAGAAAAGGATTAGATAAATCTAAGTAAGCCATTAAATAGATAAATAAAACAAAGGGAAAAGGACGTTCTCGCTAGTGCGAGGCCACGAAGCGCTTCCAGTTCTCCCCTATTCTATTCACTATAATAATGATCAATCATAATGGACCTTTAAGGTAGAACTAATTCCTTAAACGCCTGCCAATTAAAGTGATAAAAAAATTGACAGTACAAATAAAGAAGGACGTTCTCACACTTGGTTCGGGAGTAACATGCTAAACATATTAGTTTTGTATTGCAAAGGAAAGTGCGTAACCAATTCCTCCTCCAGAATCAGTAGACCTTTGCCAAAAAAAATATGCTAGAAGACAACCTACTAGAGAGGAGGCCACGAAGCGCTTCCAGTTCTCTACTTTACTGTTTTAATCTAACTAAGTGAACCGACAATGACGCAAGTCTATTAATTAGCCCAAAACAATTTCTTACCTAATTAATATTCATTCTTTGAAATATACTTTTCATATATATCTTTTCAGAGACGGTCGTTTACAACTTTTTAATTTTTTAGTAAATATCTTTTGAATATTAAGAGGAGAAAAAGAAAATACAGCGTTAACTGTGGAAAATTTAAGATACTGTGACTAAGCTATATCATATAAACATGTTTAGATTATGATCAGTTAATCAATTATTTGCTATCAAAAAAATTTTTATTGTCCGAGGAAAAACAAGAGGAACCGTACCTAAAAAATAGAACAGGTTACACAATTTATCAAAGTCGTAATTTATACAATTTAAAGTACTTTTTCGGAAGAGTCGGGTAGCCCATCTTGCCTATAAAGAGTATATCGGTTTTCTTGAAAGCTTAATGTTTCTTGTAATGACGCATAAGAATATTTGGTGAATTCACTTGAATCCAACAATTTTTATTATTGCCAACTATGTCTGAAAATAAGTCTTGTATTGTGTCCATTAAGTGGGTCAAAATGGAATGAAATAGTAAGTAAAGATCTAGAAAGAAAAAACTGGAAAGAAGGTATTGTCTTATGTAACGTTTTTTATATGAGATTTGTTGAAAATCCTATAAGAAGAGATGTTAAGCGATCGAATGATGCAAATGAGAAGATAGGTATAGGTACATCCAACAGAATGCTTGAGCTTTCTAAGGCTATTGAAATTATGGCAAATTTTTTTTTTATGATAGGAATCTTAAATATTTTTTGAGTAACTTTATTTAGCAGCTTGGCCATTCATACGCACTGAATAGACAATAGATCATATAAAAAGAATAATAGTTTTCACTTGTTATTTGCTTGCTTCTCTGAACAATACGAAGATTAACTCCTTTAAGTTTAACATTGCATATTATATAGATTCTGCTGAAATAAATAATGAAGGTTTGAATATATTGGCAAATCTC